CTGGACATCTAAAAAGATACTTCTAAGTCGTTCCATAGTGAACCGAAAAGACAATTACCGAACAAAATCGCCCAAGAACTTAACTCACTCTTACTGCATGAAGAGTTCCAAAAAAACCGCCACTATCTTCCAGGGCGTCACGTGTTACGACAATTTCCCATTAACCATCACGGGCTTGATGGTGTGAGCGAATCAGTGAGCAAGCGTATCATCGTATCAGCGACTTCAATCAAAGATCATGCGCATTTTGAGTATGTTGTAAGACATCCAATCTTGAACTTATCACTGGGCTGCCTGTGCGCCCAGTCATAAAATGGGCTTTCGGTCGTCTGCGGCGAAAAACGGCCTCCCGGGGGAGGGAAGACACGAGGGTCTGGTACCAAGAAACGATGTTCTCACAAATGGTTTCATATGATTTTCTCTTGCACGAACCCTTGCACGGATACTTTTTGTACCTCGTCTGCGCTCCCCCTGAAAAACCCACAAAGCGTTGCGAACCTGAAGAACGCCATTTGCGTTGTTCGAAGCGATTCGATCATGGGAGGCACTCGGTAATTTTCTTATTGTTCGAGTTTAAGTCAGTTAGATGATGTTGGCGCTGGGAAACTCAGAGAAATCCTCGCGTTGCATTCAAACCGACACGCCGTTCACGGTAGGTTCACACTAAAGATGACTCTAAGCGTCACGTTTGGAACGCCGTGACCGCTTCGTGAACTCAAAGAGAGAATTATCGATCGATGTAGTACATGAGCAATTAAGAAGCACAATTTATGAGCAAGGTATTTCACCAGTTGACGACACTATGGCTGAAGACTTGATTGTAAGCCTTCGTAGTCAGTGAAGCGAACAACTCAGTCGCCGATGAATGGCACTACGCACGTCCATGAGCGAGGGACGTGACAACTTTGCCATGTTAGAAGACTGACTTTTCCTTTAAATATTTCCTTCTATTTGATGCAACACACGCCACTTTGGAGGTCTCAATTTCGGATACTGAGGATAAAGAAGACACGGACAAAAATAGAGACTCTGAGAATTTCGGACACAAGTTTAAAGCTTCACCGGGACATCCCATCCGCGAGCTTCACAGAGAGCGACTTGAGGAAAATAGGAGCTATTACTGACAAGGTTTGGTGACTGAGTAGAGCATACAAGTGTAGCCCACGTCGAGGTTTCAGGGGGGTTTGCTTTTGTTTGTATTTGTATCTTGCTAAGCTTTTATCATTAAATTTGTACATGATCTTGTGATCACAATTCTGTGTTTTCGCCCATTCAGCAAGCACATTATATTGATGTCAGCATTAGCGAGTTTCAGAAACATGCCTTTGAAAGTTTTCAGCTCTCGTGATATTTCTTGATATTTCTTTTACCATTTTATGGAGATGTAAACTGAAGTCACCGCAAAATGGAAACTTAAAAAAGCGTATAATCCATTTATCTCGAAACATAACACACATGACTTATACGACCTTTATTTTCGTAAAGGTGTTTTGAATACGAACGAACACAGTCAATGTGAGGGGCAAAAACAGCATTAATATAAATGAACCATAGGGTTTTACTAATATAAGGGTCAATTATTGTGCACTGAGATGAATCACTTGAAAAGAGAGACTTCGCTTGAAGATGTGATCAGAAGTAAACAAAGGTATAATAGTGCGTCACGTTCAGTCTTTTTAATATCCAAGGAGTCACTGTGAATAGTGTCAGGGGCACCCAACGAGAATATAGTTCAAAACCACTCAACATAGCATTGTTAAACGTATTTTAGTATTTAAACGGTAGATTTAGGCATAATTTTATCCGCTAAACATTTTTTGTCTGTTCGGGTTTCCTAGCTGAAAGTCTGGTGATCCGAAAATTATAGGGATCAAAACTTACCTTTTCGAAAGTTTCAGCCAGAAAAATGGCTCCCGAAAATTCTAGGTGACCTTTTTAGGGTAAAAATCCGTAAAAATGGGCAATTATACCATTTTTTAGCTGTTCGAAAATCCTAGGAGAGGCAGGCAAGCAAGAAATTTTACGACAAATGTTCCGAAAATTCTAGATCTCAAATCGTCTTCCGAACAGATATTTCCCGAAAATTGATGTTGGGTGCCCCTGATAGTGTTTCCATATTGTTTAGCTGGCACAAAAACTTCGGACGAGTTATAAAGCGGCATAGTTATCTTCCATGAAGAAAAGTTCGTCTTGGGTGAGACAAACAGAACTGGAGCGAATTTTTAACTCGCATCGGTATCAGGTAAAAAATATGTTATCGATCGTTTCATCTATTTACATTGTTTGAAGTGCGTGCTGGTGAACGCAACATGCGAGCGAGAAATCTTTAAACTTTTTTAGGTCTCAAAATGCAAAGGGTTTTATTCCTTTAAGTTAGAGAAAAATACCATGAGGAAAATCTTAAAACTGAATATTTTTCATCTTGTGGAAAAAATAGTGCGTTTTCTTGTAGACTGTGGACCACAAATTAGAATCGCACTTTTCACAAACATGCGAATTCTGAAGTTCAGAAGCCAACCGACGATTGCGTTTTTCGCTGCTGTCAATGATCTTAACGGACCTCTTAGGAAACAAAACTTTACTTCACGGGTTCAAATTATCGATGAGCGATTTCCCGAACTCTACCTGGCAACTTTATGAGAACATCCATGTTGTGCACCGCAATTTGCTCGACTTGCTTGCTGCTGGTGCTTATCTCCTAAATTTTAAATAGTACTCGACTACGGCAACACTACTCTAGTTGATTGCTTGTTTTCACGCGACGTTTTGATTATTCTGTCATTCACACATGGGCACCGATAAAAGCAAAGCTGTAATTGGAGGAGTCACAGTACCGCAAACGTGGCGCGAACACTTTCCAGAAAATGAGGGCTGAATTATAATTGGCTAATCACGGGAAAGGAATGTAGTTCGGTTTTCAGCAGCCGTTTGTGGGGAGGAGCGTTGCGTGACGACACTAAAAACGGCTGTGTAGCAGACTACAGTGACACTGGCGAGCGCAGATTTGAAATCCTTATTAATGTGAAGTTATTAGGTCTTTAGGGTGTTCTTCGTCTTTAACTCTCACGAAATGCGCGGCGTTGGACAAATAGACGGATAATCTACGAGATAATTCGAATAAATGAAGGACGGAATGGGACTGACGCTCGGTAGAACACTGCCTGTGCCTCCGCTGCCGGTTTTTTTTTTTTGATTGACATGAACGCGTGACAATGAAACACGAACATTTGTTTTTTTAAGTCTTTTGCGCTAAGGACAGTGTTCGCGTTTTGATAGTCGACTTCTGGGCACTTCGCTGGGCTGCGTGGCCAACGTCACAAACAATGCCAGAGATGGGTCGTTAGTAACTTGTGCGTTATACAGTGTTTTCACATGACATCACGGCGGCCATTGGTGTCCCAAAACAATCCATGTTGGTGGCCCAAACCAATCCTCTGGGAGTTGAACTCTTTTCTTATGCAAACGCTTTCTTTTGTTCCAATAAATTTGCATAGATGCTGGCCACGTGAGTGAAAACACTCTATAGAGCAAAGCAGAAATCATGCACTTCCACAGAACTGGAAACTCTTCAAATATGTTTAATCTTAATCGTAGTTAAAGGAACAGTATCCCGTTACTGCGCATGCACCAAACTTTGATTTTTGGACAGGATGTCGCGAAATCAAAAGATGCGAGGAGAGTAAGAGAACCGTGAAAAATCCGTTTGCATCGCGCTTGACCGGGCTCAATACGACACTAAAACTTCTCAGGATTACAGATCAATGATATATTGTTCCTGTTCAGTTTCGATTTGGGCAAAATCTGGATTTTTGGCGTTACTTTTATTGCCGTTGGCCGGAGGACCAAAAGATTGGAAGCACTTTGATGCCGATTGAAGGCTTATTTCTTCTGCTAGCTTCCATACAAGCTCAGATAATTGTGAAAGGAATACGCAGAAATGAAACGGCAACAATAAAGACCGTAAGAACGAAACCATTGAGACATTGATGTGACTGAGGAGATCTTGTGGAGGGGAGCTTCGTGAAGCAGAATGTTTTGCAACGACGCGTTAGTAAACTTTTTTAAATGAATCTCCCTAACGGCCGACAAAATCAAACAAACAGGCGCTACATGTTTAGAAAAACTAGTGCCATGAAATCATAATACAATTTTTGACTAACCTTTCTCATGATTCATAGCGTTGAGATCGTTTTTTTTATTTATGTCTTTCAAACGTTTGAGGCTAGAACGCGAGCAAATCAGGCAGATATTACTAGACTTGTAACAACTGACCTCTGACACGAGTTTCAAATTAGAAAATATGTTTTTAAAGCGAGCGGAACGAGATTTTCGGGTCGCGAGGCGGCCCAGCTAACGATAAAATCGCTAAAGTCTTCGAACCGCGAGCCAAATTTTTATATTAGACGAAAGACTTCTTTGAAAGTCTAAAATATTACTTGAGAATATAAACAATATATCTCTGCCGGCGTTGCGGTCCGGAAGGAAATCTTGTCAAGTCAATATGACAGTTCTATTGTCTTTTGAAGAAAAAACAGATGACGCTCGCGCGTGCGCATAATCGGGACACTGTCCCTTTAAATCGTTGACAGCTCACGTAATTCAACATGGCTCCGTGACTTAACGGGAGTCATTACTTAGACTAGAGCGCAAACAAAAAGATTTCAAATTCCCATACTTCTCTTTCTTTCTTACTCATTTGGATTTGAAAAGATTAATACGTTCATACACTCAACCTTCAACCGTAAGAACATCGCGCTAAAAACGCTTTCGGTGAAAAACGAGACATCATGTAGCTAACAGTATAACTGTTTGTCGACTTAAGAAAAACTAGTTCCTTGTCTTTAACTAGAAAGTACAACTTTGAGGGGTACCTCAGAATAATTAACAAAAAATGGTGGCGACATTAGTTTCTCCTTGCATGAAAGTTCCGTTGACGTATTGTCTATGTTTGTAAATTTTTTAGCTCTTTTTAACCTCATATTTTAATTTCTTTCAGGAATTACTTTTTAAAGAGAATTCACAAAGTTCTACAAAAATCAGATCCGGTTTATGGGGACCGTTATTCAGTTGATCTGGAACTTGGCCTTCCTCACACTGAAAAATCATATCGCTTCTCTGAGCACGTGTATCAAAAAAAGGGAACGAACAGTTTATGTCTTCCCAAGGGAATTGAGTGGAACAGAAACGCCACGGTTTACATAATACTCCCTGTCAAAGATCAGGGAAGATGGGTTTATCATTTCATCAATGATCTCACGGTTGCCAGCTTATTAACGGGTGATAAGAACTTCCACGTTATTGTTGCTGATTTTGAGAGTCAAGATATCGACTTGGCCAAAGCGTTCGACACTGCCCTTCTGAGGAGCAGGCACACTATTATCAACTTGACTGGTAAATTTTACAAGACGCTGGCGTTGAACAAAGCTGTAGAGCAAGTACAAAGTGCGCATGATCTGTTGTTCTTGTTTGATCTTCACATTGATGTGCCCGTTGATATTCTGGACAGCGTGCGAAAGGTGAGTTGATACTGGCCTACGTAGCAGGCGCCGGTAATTACCTTATTACAGGCCTAGATTTCTTCCTTCGGCCTTAGAAAAACCTGGCGCCTGCTACGCAGTTTAAGTTCATACCTGTTGTTATAAACTGGGCTTTTCGCATGACGTCACGTCCACCGTGGTGTCGTTGATTAATCCTGTAGAAATTGAACCTTTTTCTGAATTGTAAAAACTTTTCCTCGTTCCAACAAATTTGCATAGTTGTTAGCCTCGTGACTGAAAACGTTCTATAGCAAGATACACTTTTTTTGCAATTGCGGATAACTTCCCATTTTTTTTTTATATCAACACCGTTTTTGCAGTACGTGTTTTCAAAGATCTAAATGTCAATTGTCTGTTGCATTTTAGAGTAAAATGTTATCGTCAATTTTGTTGGAGAATTTCTTCCAACAACACTGTCAGATTTCTTGTTACGTTTAAGTGACAAGATCGAGTTTGGTTTCCTTATTTTCAACAGAACACCATAGAAGGAAGAATCGCTTTCTTTCCCGCAGTGGGACGTTTAGACTGTCAAAGTACATATATTGATCATCAAGGCTTTTGGCAGATGAACGGGTATGGTCTTCTTGCTGTATATAAATCGGACTGGATGCGTTTTGGCGGTAAGTTCAAAGAACATCATCATCAACCGTCACAGTAGAGTCACGTGATCTACCTATCAATAGAGACCTGAAGCATCGGCGACGAAAGAGACGACGGAGACGAACTGCACCGCGAAAGGACTGGATCGAGAACGTCGTTCACGGCGAGAAAATTCGAGAGATAAGTGTTCAAAATGTCTTTTCACGGTCTGTCCTAAACGTTCCATGGTGCTTTGCCTGTGTTCCTCTCCAGCTGCTCCTTCTTCCTTTTCTTTTTTTTTTACCTCGGAGATTTTTTGTCGACCAACGTCTCCTGTCAATGATCTCTTCGAGAGCCAGGTCTAGTCTTGAACATAATCGGCGCAGAAAACGTACGGCGAAGTGACAACGTAGATGCTTGACATCGAAGATGGTTTGTTGAGTGGTTGACTGGAGATGTCTTCAAAATCTCTCCATCTCTGTTTTTGCAATCTGTGCGAAGGTAAAACGCATCAGTCAGGATACGAGGTGAAACAACACGCTAAGTTGTACGGAACACTGCCAACAGCTAAGAAATCGAGAGTCGAAGAAAGCGATTCCAGTGCCAGTGATTCCAGTGATAGTGAGAAGTGTGAGAAGAAAGAACATGTTGTTGAAGAAGGCTCCAGCATTTTTCCCCTTGACGGAGATTGGGATGACGACGTCGATGATGTCCGTGATGATGATGATAAGGTCAAGGTAAAAAGCTGTTGTCATTGATTTTCGTTCGACGGTCGTTTCGCCAATGAGTAGCTTGACCTTGCCAAGGTTCTCGACGCCATCTTGACGAGTAGGCAAACGTGTGAGAAATTACAGTGTCTGTATGAGAATCTAATGTCGAATAATTTCCGTAAAACGGCTGTTCTGAACAAAATATATATCAATTGTAGAAATGCCCAGCTAATAATATGTATCTTTGTGGTTTTACTTGGCTGCAGATTGACATTGAACAATTTCTAGAGGGTTTAGATCCTATTCCAGCTGTGGTTGAAAATGCAGATTATGGAACTGACTCATCAGATTTTGACACGGAAGAAAGCAGCTCAGAATCAGAAAGTGAGGTACGCTATACTGTGCTTGAAGGCTTTTTAAAGGGGAGGGATTTATAAAATGCCCGAAATTAGATTCTCAAAGCTTGAAAGTTTGGAATCATTTGACAGTTTTAACCAACTAGAGTTGATATGAAGTTGGTGGTTGGTGGCTGTGACTTATATGTTTATATATTATATTAAATTTACTATAATGGATAGATTCTTGTACCAACACAAATCAATCCAGTACATTGTGAACATTATACTAAAAAGTGAATCCTCAAAGTCAAAAATGTACATGTATGACAGCATACATGTACTCAGTTGTAGCTTGTTATTCCCCTTATTGACAGCCCTGTTATTGGCTTTAACTGGAACTCAAAAATATATTTATGTATTATGATTTACATGGATTAATTTTTTTTTTCACTTAACAGGATGCTGGTGATGGTGTAATATCAGATATTCATGACATAAATGAAGCCTCTTTCTCACAGGAAACACATGATTTGCGTGAAGCTGTCGCTAATAGTCCTCTCCTTCATAGTAGTTTGACATGCACTTTGTTTGAGACCCTGGTTCACCTGTTTGACTGGTTCTCTTCACATCCCTCCATCAGCAAGGAAGCCTTTTCTAAGAACTTACAAATATGGCACTCAATTCTTCCAGAGGGAAATTTGCTCCCAACATCCTATCGAGATGCCTACAAGATTATCAAACCATATCTTGATCCAGAAATCATATTCCATGTTTGCCCCAATGACTGCATACTGTTCAGAGGCGAGTACAAACAAAGTGTGGTATGCCCAAAATGCAACGAATCACGGTTTAAGGCGGGTAAGATTCCCAGGAGAACTTTCCATTACTTGCCTCTTAGTCCTAGACTAGCCAGAAGTTTTGGAGCCAAGGATATTTCTTATCTTCTCCAAAGTCATGAGGGTGGAAAACAGACTTCAAGTACTGGTGGAATTATGAATGACATTCATGACTCGCCGAGGTGGAAAGAAGCGTTCAGTCCCAATGGTACATTTGAAGGTGATCCACGGGGCACTGCACTGTCATTGTGTTTAGATGGCCTCAATCCATGGAGTAAGAATAAGACCAACTACTCCATGTGGCCCATTGTTTTAGGGCAACTGAATCTCCCACGAAATGTCAGATACCATTTGGCAAATCTTTTGCTAGTGGGAATAATTCCAAGCCAAGTACAAGGAGCTGAACCTAAAAATCTTGATCCTTACTTAGAAGTGTTAATTGATGAGATCATTTATTTGGGTGGGTGTAAACTGTATGATGCATACAGAAAGGCACCTTTTAATGTGAAAGTTGAAATCTTGATCTATGTCCTAGACTACCAAGGATTTGGCAAAGTGTTTTCCCTAACAGGCACTGGTTCTTACAGAGCCTGTGCATGGTGTATGTTCCAAGGGCAGTACTGCAAACATTTGTCTAAAATGGTGTATGCTGGTAACAGGCGTTTCTTACCAACTGAGCATGAGCTGAGAAAAGACCAGCATAATTTCCCACAACACTCAGCTGAATTAAGAGGTAGACCAGTATATCGGAAGTTTCAACAAGACCTGTCATTCCACAAAGCTTACGATAATGCAAAGAACAAAACTCAGAGCAGTCGTGTGGCAAGTGGAACTGGATGTCGTGGAGTGTATATGCTTGCACAAAAATGTCCGGGTTTCGATCGAGTACAACAAACCATGCCGGATGCCATGCACACTGTAGCAGTACAAGTAAAGCATCTTCATAGATGCCTTGCTGGAAAGGCTTCGGAGGATTCTCTGGCTGTACGAAAGCAGGAAATGGAGTTAAATAGGTTTCCAGAATGTTGGCCAAGATCTACTTGTAGCCCTGGTGACACTGGACCAAGCTCCTCAAAATGTTCCAAACGCGGCAAAAACAAAAAGGAGGTTAAGAAGAATGAGAGAGGTGAAAAAGAGTCATTTTCATTACCCACTGCTCCTTTTGGCCTGACAAAACAGCAGCTCGAAGAAGCAGACGGGAGAGCACGACAAGTCATTGTTCCAACTGGTGATTCGTTCTCCCCTGGTCCAATTTTTTCCCGAATCTCAAGGCTGAACTCTCATGAGTGGAAAGAGGTAAGTATATTTATCTAGCTAGAAGCAATATCACAACTTAGCCCTCCTTGGATTAACCGGTGATTTTCAAAAAAAAAGAAAAAAAATGAAATAAAAATCTAAGTTAATTAACTACAGCTGTAACTGAAAAACAAAATACAACAAACTAAAAAACTTTCATTGCAAATTGACAAGTCTAACTTTGTCAATCAATGATCACAACAACTTTGCAAGAAGAAAGTAAAAACAATAATATCAAAATAATACATTAAGTCTCAAACAGTTCATCATAAAGCATTTAAGGTAACCATAATTTTTAGGAAAAAAATATGCTTATCTCTAGCTAGGAAGTTTTAAGTGCAAAATCACTGTACTTACAGGTGTATATTTCATGGTCTCCACATGGTAAATAAACTATAATAGAACTAATGGTCTCAAAGGCAGAGGAATTGCTCAAATTAATTAAAACGTCTTGGAGAGAATGTTTTAAAAAAATAAGCCTAGACAATCTCTAGTACTCGAATTTAATGTTCTCATAGTTCTCATCGTTACAATCTTGAAATCCTAATTCTTTAATCTTGTAAAATTACAGGTTGCAGTACGGGGTGTCCTAATATACTGTATCAGAGGCATGTTGGGTGATGAACAGCGCAAAACCATTATATTATTTACGGATGCAATCGCAGCTTTATGTGCCCCCTCTCAAGATGCAGCCAAGATTGAGCATTTGAAAGAGCAAGTAAACGTTGCATTGGCACGGTTGGAGAGGGACTTTCCGTTATCTCTACAGGTAAGGTTACAGTGCAAGTGTCTAAAATCTATCGTGTCGTGGGTTCTACTCCTGCTGGAAACCAAGACTTTTTCTTGGTTCCACACTTGCGACAGGTTGAATTTAACTTCCGTCTCGAAGTTGGGTGTTTATGCAGGTTGAACATCATTCATCAGGGATTTGAATATGCCTGTGACGACATTAGTTAACTTAAAGTGAATTTGGCAGTGGTGGTCTAGCTATTTTATTGTCTCTTAAAGGGGGCATTATCACGGTGATTTTGAAGTGTTCAGGACAATTTTGTGTTAAAATCATGATTTTAGTACCTTCACTATAAAAAAAATGCTTCTGCTGAATTGTAAAAATTGTAAAACAATATTATGAAATTAAGGGAGCAAACCGTAATAATTTTAAAAAAGGCCTTCAGAATTGAGGCTGATTTTGACTCCATTTTCATGGCCATTCGTAACAACAGACAACAGTAGCTGTTTTCAATGCCATAATGTTTGTGTTTTATAGGAAAAGTGGACCATTATTTTAGAGTTACCTATCATCATGCAAAGGCAAGTTGTACCTTTTTAAAGTGATGCTACAATGCCCATTTAAAGTTATTGCTGTGTTTTTGGATTTTTTGAAGGTTGTTACAAACCACATCCTGCATCACCTTCCAGAAGGGATTCAAAAATTTGGACCTGTACATGGGACTTGGATGTTTGCTTATGAACGCTTTAATTCATGGCTTTGCAGGAGGGCAATGAACAGAAAACATCCAGAGGCAACAATTCTGCGAACATACCAGGTGTGTCCAGAAGTACCTTCCCAGACATGTTAAACTGATTATTATGACATTTGTACTATTAGCCCATTTTAATTTGCAGACAACGGATTACAAAAGTTATCATTTCAAGTTGCTAACCTATTCTAGGAAGGTACAGCAGGGCTGTGCTCTAGCAGAGCCCGGTGGCCCCTGGCGCCTAACTTTTGCTCTCGGGCGACTGGAAAATCTCAGATTTTTCATACAAATCACATGCTGGGCACCCTGGATTTTACAGTTTCAGAGCACTGGGCTCCCTTCAATTTTCCTTAGAGAACAGCCTTGTACAGTAATTAAGCTTGATCAATAATTTTACCCTTTGATGCCAGTGGATGAACAACACCTGATCATCTTATCAGGTCTGATCATCACATGCACTTAAATGATCTACTGTACATAGCATTTTATTATAAAATAATATCAAGGGAATATTCAGTGGAACACTACTTACTACATGTAAAAATGAATTTGCAACATGAAAATAACAATAAAATGGACTTAAGTTGTTTGTTTTTCTTGTCAGATTTTCGAGTGGTGTCACTATGCTAAAGTCTGTGGTGCAATGGAACATAAACTCCCCTTTCAACTGCCACCTGAAGCAGAGAATTTTTTTTGATGATCACATTCCATCTCAAGGCAACTCCCAGGGTTTATCATTTGATCTTTCCATTGGTGACCTTAAAGAAATGGAAAAAATTTATCAAAATGCAGTTTCAGAATACCGGTCCCTCCTCACCCTGTATGCCATGGAGAAGGAACGAGCCAGAAAGCAGGGAAAGCTGAAGATGTTCCCAAAAGCATTCTCTCAATGGCGACCAGAAGGAAGCATGTATTCGGAGTCACAGTTAAATGCTATCTGTGCTGCCCCTCAGTCCAAGGCTACAGTCTATGAGCAATACTCCTTGGAAACAAAACAGCACTCTCACAGCTACCTGTACATTTCAAAGGAGCACCACAACAAGAGGCCGAGTTTCGTCTACTGTTCTTTGCCTTGTTCTGGGGCAAGTCAAGCATCTCAGGAGATGAACTTTGGTGTAATTCAGCGGTTATACCAGCATTCTTTTGCAGAAAAATCATTCATGTGGGCAGCAGTCAGTTTGTACATGGAGCCGTGTTATGACGCAAGTTGTGGTCTGTGGCGTGCAGAAAATAAAACAGAAAAAAGAATCCTGGTTCTACTCAGAAGCATTTCTCGTCCCCTTACTGTAGCACATGATTCCAACATCATTTGGTTTAAACAATTTTTAGATGTGTATCCTTGATTGCCAGGGGACAGATACAAGCAACATTATATGTAGCATTTTGAGTCAGTGAACGTTAACTCAAGTAGATTTTGAGCCACACGTCAGACTGGAGTAAATAAAGGCTGCATGCGTAAAGCAGATGGGCCACACCTACACAGGTTGGAGTTTTAAAGGCTAAAACTTTGAATGGCACGAATTATTTCCAAGCATTCAAATTTAATGGAAACATTTAAGAAAAGTGTGTAAAATACGATTTTTGTTTTTCTCGGATACTGTAGATCAAAAAATTTTATGCACCATAATTTTATGAACTTGTGCTTTGCTTTAAATTTCCTTTTGCACATTCTAAAAAAAAATTAGAATAAGGCTACCACAGTCATGGATAGTGAACCATTCATGGTATATAGTATACTACCTGTACATGGTCTGTACATGGTAAAGCTGGACCTTAGTGCAATGTTAGTATTTATGGCTCCAAATTCATGGGTCATTCATGAGATCATTAATACATATATATCAGGGTGTGATTCTGTCCAGGGAACTGATTTCTTAGAATTTTCATGGCCCATGAAATCAATGTATATAGTTTCATGGCCCATCATGGCACATATTTAATGGTATATTCAGGACCCATGAAATCTAAATTGTCGTTTCTCATTTTTCATGACCCCTGAAATATACGAGTGTATTTTTCATGGCCCATGGAATCTCTAATACTCCAACTTTTCATGGCTCATGAAACCTAGTGCCAGATATTTCATGGCAATTTCATGACCCATGAAACCCATTGTCAACTTTTCATAGAAAATTCATGGCCTGAAAAATAGACCATGAAAATGAAATATGCGTATTCAAGGCCCTGAAAAATGCTTCCCTGGGTTTTTAATGACATTTTCATGGGATTTTCATAACATTGTAGCTCATAGTGATATTTATAACAGTTTATTCCCTTACATAAGTTTACATGAAGATTTGGTTACACATAGCACACACTGCACGCGAGTTATTTTAACGGCATGCTTTCAGTTTCCGCACTGGGTTATGAAAAATGTTTTGTTTCCAAAGGTTATTACAATAATCAAACTTATTTACCTTTTATGGTCTAAAATGGAACAAACTCTTCCTAGATTTGGCGTTACTCGCCTCACGTCGGCTTCCTCTTCGGCATGTTTTCTTAGCCCGTTTCCTGGGAGTTATGCTACTTGGCTGAGACGATCTCTTCATTCCAAGGCACTTGCAACGTCTCATAGCGGGAAAACTAACAGGGGTAGACCCGGGTAGACCCTGGTAGACCCCGAAATTTACAAAGAAGAAAGATTGAAGTAACTAGATGACCAAATAATCCCATAAAACTGCTAACAGCAGCAATGAATCCAAGAAGAACGACAAAAATAACACTCAAATCATCATGGCGGCCTGCACATGACCGAGCAATTCAAACTTGTCACAAACGTTCAAGAAAGCAAAATATTTAAAAGTAACGTAACTATTATCAAGATAAAAAGTTGCAACAACTTTCCACTTGGAATAAAGCGAAAATTTCATCATATGCACCTCTGAAAACGACTCTTTCCAAGAGTGAAAATCACTCTATAAATAACGCATTCTAAAATTTCGAAAGGGCGGATTTTGAAGTTGATGACGTCATGTGACGTAATATGACGTCACGGCTGAAACGTTGCTACAATGAACTTAAGAGGTTCAGGGCACTTAACATTTCAAAAAGGTTGCTACTCAATAGCATATGTACTTTTGGAGGTAAAGAGACACTTTCTGCCTTCCCCCCACCCCACTTCCCCTCGTCTAATAAATTCCAAAACTCAGTTTTTTTATATTATCTGCAAAAAAAAGTAATAGAAACAACAAAAAAAATGTGATTGTGACAGGAAACGTCTTCTCAAACGTTTAGGATGTTTTAAATCTCTTAAAACTTCTCAAGGACGACAAGTTGTTAAGACATTAAAATTCACCTTTTTTCCTTAGTTTACAAAATAGAGGTAGAAGACGCAGCTCATGAGACACATAATATGCTATCGCCCATTACGTTCTTGGTAGCTTTCGGAAGCTGGGGCCATCTACTTTAAACCCATATATAAATAAAACCTCTGAATTACTGGAATCTCATGAGATGAGGTTCGTAACGGGTATATAACTATTTGATTAGATGATGCACTGCGGGTATTGTGCGGTTATTGTGATTATGTAGCTCAGATACTAGTGAAACAGGTATATCAGGAACCTTTTCACCGTAGAAATAATAAAAAAAAACATACATGTGTTCAGTTTAACAGTACCAGGAAATTTCTAAAGGCTGAGGGATACGTAGTGTGGAGTTATTTATTCCATTAATTAAAAGGAACATCATTTATAATACGAACCACTTTGTTGTGTAATTTCACCATTTGAGACAGTGGAGCATTAATTTATAATTATTTCCTCATAGTGTACAAGTATAAGTATGGTTAGGATATATAAGAGAATAATACAAACTAATAAGTGTTGCTTCAGGATATATGTTATGGAAAGCAAGCTGGATTTTGTTTCATTTGACGGTAAAAATCTTCAAAGACGACAAAATTCATTGGCAAACTTGTCTTTCCCATACAAAACTCTTATACTGGTCAGGTTCAATGTCTGAGTCACAGCAGGAACTTAAGCAGGAGGTACGTTTGGCTTCTTGCCATCTTGATTGGTTCATTCTTTGGTTACTTGATATTCAAGTCACGCTACACAACTCCTTATTCATCCAAACTTCAGGCCGGTCAAAATTATGGTAAAGCGAGGACTGTAAACGCCACGGAAAGTATTGCTACCAGCACTAAAGACATTGTAACTACGGAAATGCCTGGTGATGAACGTTTCCAAATCGGCCATTATGTTCTAGACTTACCTCTTCCATAATTGGAAAAGAGTTCAACTTTGATAATTCAACTCTAGCTGTAATAAGAAGAGTTCTTCGGGATCAAACATTCAAGCGAAAGCCAATCGAGTCCATTGATGCCAAAACGCCATTTTTTGATCTCGCGGCCCCTATGACCGCGTGTTCGAGTAACCACTTCGGCGAATTTAAACCTCACATAGAAGATTTTAGAAAGAGTTTCCCTGGAACGAAATGTTTTTTCTACGATCTTGGACTAAGCGATGAGCAGATCAATGAAGTTAAAAACATGCCTGACCTAGTGTACAGAAAATTCGACTTAAATGCATATCCTGAACACGTTCGTTACCTGCAAAATTATGCCTGGAAACCGCTGATAATTCAAGAAATGCTTTCTGAATTTGATGGAACAATGTGATTTGATTCATCTGTCAAATTCTTAGGAAACCTAACCAATAATGTAATAGAACGTATGTCCCGCCACAATGAGGGCGCAGTGTTTTATCTCGACTCAACCCACCACTCTATAGTAGCCGCTATTCAACCGGGCATGCTTGAATACTTTCCGATGATAAAGGAAGGCGCAGTTAAGGACATGCTTCAGGCCAGTGCAGTGGTTTACATAAACAAGGATGAAGTACAAAGGCATATAATGAAATGAGTTGTGATTTGCGCCCTTAAACAGGACTGTATCGCACCGCCCGGTTCAAAATTATTTTGTGGGTTACAGTTTCATCGAGACAGGTTTGGGGGCTGCCACAGATATGACCAGTCTCTGCAAAATATCCTTGTTTCGAACGCTTATAACCATGAACATAAGAAATATCAGTACTGGGGTAAAGATTTTACCGTTATGGCCCGGGAGTAACTTTCCTTGAGAAACTCGCAAAGGAAAGACAGTGCATACCGAATTTTGTTAACATCTCGATAGCTATTGAATGTATGGTTGTTTTACCCGTGAGAATCACAAAAACAGAGACATATTGGAAGAGAGATTACGGAATTTGCATTCCTCCGATGTTTGAAAATATGCGAGTCGCCCATGTAGTCCAGTTTCTGGAAATGTCGCACCTTTTGCGAGCGTCATATTTTACATTTTATGACCACAATATCTCTGACCGCGCGAGGAAGATGTGTAGTTCCTACCAAAGAAAAGGGTTAACACAACTTCGTCCTTGGAATTTATCCACCTATATCACAGTCCAAGATGTTCATTACCACGGGCAAAGTTTTTCCATGCAAGACTGCATGTTCCGATCAATAAATCGTCTCAACGTCGTTGCGTTCAACGATTTGGTCGAGTTTATAATCCCGCTTCAGAATGAAAGTATGCCTTCTCTACCTTACAGTATCCACGACTCTAACTATTGAGGCCACTGTTTTACAAGCGCAAAGTTTCCCACCGTAGATAGCTTGACTCAAAACTATTCTCTATTCTCTCAAAACTTTCTACGTCGTTCACCGCAAGCTGAATCGTTACACACCAAATGCGTTGATGATCAACAAAGAGTGTTTGAGCACGCAGTACATCTTATCATGCAACCATTCGAAGGCTACAAAACTAACCATGTGAATTGGAACAAAGCCAGAGTTTTCCATTGCAGTTAAAAGTCAACCACCATCTAACTCGGCGGTGATATAAAAGTAGATACAACCGAGCAGAAAAACGGCCAGCAGTTAAGAAAGAATGTGCTTACAAGCTTCGTTGAAACACAAAAAAAGGAGACATCTTGCAAGAGAGATTACGGAATTTGCGGGATATGGTAGACACACACATTTTGGTAAGGAACTGGTTTGCCTTCCATGAAAGAAATTTTAATCTCCAGAACTGTCTTCCATTTTCCATTGAAATCTGTAATTCCGTCTGGTGAAGAACCCTGCCAGTTTACCCTATAAATAAATTATCTGTATTTTGCCGCAAAAACGTTTCAGGTAGATGAGAAGAGTACTTTCTTCTTTGATAGAACCCCATAAAATTGCCAAATTTGATTCATTTGCTTGAATTTTCAGAAGATATTGATTTGTAGAATTCAATATCATTAAGAGTCGTTACAGATAAATTACCAAGCAATTTTACCTGTCCAGTGATGTACAAGACCAGTACAATGCAGCTTTACTACTAGGGGGTTTAATTGCAACTTGGTTCACTTCTGTGTCAATTGTGCTTCAATTCTTTAATTATGTTTTGTAAATCACTAGACAAATCATCCTGATAGTCAACCTAGACCATCTCCCATTCCTGAGAGGAGCTGTTGGTTGCCGTCTTACTTGCATTGATTCCCCCTTTCAAGAATTAAAATTCACAGTGGTTTTTCTTTCCTGTAATTGGTGATGACAGGTACTTGAAATTTAGTAGTATCGATCGATCAGTCTAGCATTTTAAATCATCAAGGTTGAACATCAGACAAATTACCAAGTACCTTTGTAAATGTGGGTTTATTGGGCCTATTTTTTTGTATTTTAGGCTGACCATCAGATTCACGTTTGCTTGCACCATGTAAGTTACATTGAGAGGGATATATTCGCCACAACAATAACACAGTTGCTTGGCCAGCAACATTGGCTCGTGTCCTTTACGACATTCAGATGCCCAGAGAACCTCGTTAATGGCTCTAAAAGCAATTATTAGTTGATTATGCCTTTGATTTGATATATTAAACACATTTTTTTATTGTTTGTCGTACGACACACATTCTTTTCATGTTCTGGTGTAAGGCCATCTCTTGCTAAGGCAAGTCTCCTTTTTTGGAAATTTCTAAGCAGAGTAAAAAATGTACCCTACGAGTGAGTCTTATTCATGACTATATAATTATAATCTTTCATAATATTTTCTTCCAGTAAAAAATAAAGCACTCTTTCTTTTAATCTTAAGATGATTAATCTTTTTAAGTTGATGGATCAGTTTTCATTATATAATTAATGCGCACGTGGCAGTCTTGTTGTCATGCAAACAGACGTACATTTGTAGCAGGTGAAGACCCTGAGATCAATATATTCAACAGATTGCATAATAAGTCGTGGTAGCTATGTTAAGGTTTATCACAGGCTGGTAGCCAACATAAATCATGTGCAACTTTGGGCTCGACCATTTCCTACAAGAACAACTCAACAATATACCAATAAGGAAAGGAACACTGAGATGAGAAAGAACGGTCTGCAGGATGACTGTATGGAATTAGAATCAACGCTTCCACCAACAGTACGGTCAGCCCAGAGCGACCACTAAGTGACAGAATAGCCCACCACCAGAGTTTATTTGCAACAAGGTCTTTTTCCGTCATGCTAGCCGCCATAAATAATGCGCAGGAGAGAATTTGGATTCTGGCTTGAAATGTAAGCAAGTCCTATGAAAAGGTTAACTCACTCTAATATACTGGAGCAAAATAAAAACAGCATGAGGAAACAAGATAATCTCCAATAAATGATTTAGTGTTTAGTTCTACTTTACCATTTAATTCTTTAAACAGGAATTGTTGATGAGTGACAGTTTATTAATGCAATAATTTCAACACAAATAAAAGTAACAGTTGAAATAAATTGAACAGGATATATAGCGTACACTGGTGTAATGAAATAGCCCAGCCGTTGTAAACAGAAGCACACTGACAACAGTGAAAATACGGAAGTACACCGAAATTCAGAAAAATTTGTTGAATGAACAGTCGTTCAGTTATCAAAGAGCAAGATTGTTATTATCAAAAACAATATGATCACATTTTCATTCACAAATTAATCCGATCTATATTTTCTACTAAATAGTCATTTTAACAGTCTATAGTATGACCTTAACATTCTTTTACTGCTATTATTAATTAAAGATAACTATTTATTTATCGTAATCAAAATTGTTTTTATGATTACCTTGGACTGCATATCGTGGTCAGCACACCAAATTTGACAACTAAACCACACCTTTTATTTTTATTACCGAGGGCAAGATGTCCTTGGGAAAATGAAAAAGCAACAAAAGCCTCACAAGTGCAATACCACACGAAAGGATAGGAAATTAAGTGTGTCTTCAGTCTTGTATCATCTAATTGTGTTTGGTTGTCCAATTTCGAAGATTCAAAGTTCTAAAAATGATTCCCTTGGAGAAAAAAGGCTACATTGCGAAAATAGGGAGATCAGTGTGCACGAGAGTCAGTAGAGAACACGACAAGGATCGCTATACGACCTTTCCGTACCCATAAACACGCGCTGTTGGTGAAAAAGCCTACCAGATCGGCTTGTCCGGTCCGCTTTTCCGATGAGGCAATGTGGATTGTTGGTGCTTACACAAGTCAAGCGAGAAGCTATCCACATGAGGCCTTACACTAAAACGTCAACGGGGATTAGGCCCTGAAAAATGAATTCAGTCACGGCTGCTGAATGGCTTGATGCTACAAGCTTGATGCAAGGCTTCGTGCTCGCAAGTCGTTCAAAATGGAGCCGAAACTCGGCGAGCCTCAAACTGTTATAAGTTCACATATGTAGTTACATTTTTTTACCGAGATACATCAAGTTTCTTTTTTTTTTTTTAAGTAATGATAACCTCTATAACGCCCACTTTGCAAGACGGTGGTAAGTGCTGTATCAATCCATGTCACACACCAAAGCGAATCAACTGAGGCCAGTTCTCTACAGTCGTTCTAAGTTACCTACATGTAGAAAGCGATAGTAGGTGAAACTAGGCACACGAAAAAAACGAAACCACGAAACCCACGACACCATATGCAAAACAGAGCTTTCAGTAAGTCGTAGCGGTTTTGTAAAGCAATATCCATCTATTCCTGAAGTTCACAAGATGTGGGCTCGGACGTTTTTGATGTTTTAACCATTTTTTTCCTCTTTTGATACCGAATATATTGTTTTGCCTTCCTTCTACCGACTCTCTTATTTCCTTTCCAAAATGGGTCAACTTCTACTATCTTTTCAAGAGTGGTTACTTCATATTATGAAGTCAACAAATACACTAACAAACATTGTGGTTTCTTCGTGGCTTCCTGTGTTTTTTGAAAACGATTTGGTCGGCATACCGAATTTTGTTAACATCTCGATAGCTATCGAATGTATATGGTTGTTTTACCCGTGAGAATCACAAAAAAGAGACATAGTGGAAGAGAGATTACGGAATTTGCATTCCTCCGATGTTTGAAAATATGCGAGTCGCCCATGTAGTCCAGTTTCTGGAAATGTCGCACCTTTTAGGAGCGTCATATTTTGCATTTTATGACCACAATATCTCTGACCGCGCGAGGAAAATGTGTAGTTCCTACCAAAGAAAAGGGTTAACACAACTTCGTCCTTGGAATTTATCCACCTATATCACAGTCCAAGATGTTCATTACCACGGGCAAAGTTTTTCCATGCAAGACTGCATGTTCCGATCAATAAATCGTCTCAACGTCGTTGGGTTCAACGATCTGGTCGAGTTTATAATCCCGCTTCAGAATGAAAGTATGCCTTCTCTACCTTACAGTATCCACGACTCTAACTATTGGGGCCACTGTTTTATAAGCGCAAAGTTTCCCACTGTGGATAGCTTGACTCAAAACTATTCTCTATTCTCTCAAAACTTTCTACGTCGTTCACCGCAAGCTGAATCGTTACACACCAAATGCGTTGATGATCCACAAAGAGTGTTTGAGCACACGGTACATCTTATCATGCAACAATTCGAAG